GATCTGACACTTATTTCCTTAGACGCTGAAAAAGTCTTCGACAACATCAGTTTTGCCTGGCTCTTCATGGTCATGCAGAAGTTTGGTATTTCGGGCCCCATTTTAGACTTTCTATGACAAATGTACTCTTTGCGTACAGCTAGACTAGTCACACATGACTGTATGTCCTTTGACATTCCCTTAACTAAGGGCACCAGGCAAGGTTGCCCACTGTCCCCGCTTCTCTTTTACATCGCTATAGAACCTTTGTCCAGAATACTTAATTCAACGTCAGGGGTTAGTGGTGTCACGATTGGTGAACATACTCTCTGCTCAGCTCTTTTTGCGGACAATATATTATTGTTTTCCTCATATCCACCCAAAGATTTTCTACTACTTCAGAACTTGTTTGCAACCTTCCCTAAATGTTCCAGCCTATGAATCAACTTTGATAACAGTGAAGTACTCCCTCTAAACCATACTACCTCTACTCGCTGGCTCACATCCTCCCCTTTCAGTATAGCTAAGCACTCAATTAGTTATTTGGGCATTCATATAGGCAGAGAACCACCGTTTCTCTACTACCTTAATTTCCCTCCTTTAATTAACAAGATTGTACTGGAACTGGAAGCTTGGATGACTCTTCTACTTTCACTCTTTGGGAGATGCCATCTCTACAAAACGGTTTTAATTTGCAAGATTGCTCTATCTTTTACAAACACTCCCTATTCTGCTAAAACATTCTCATGTTCAGAAGATTCATAAGGCCCTACATGCCTTCTTCTGACAACGCAAAAAAATGCGCATTGCATTACAAAAGCTAAGTCTTCCAAAGAGTGAGGCGGGTGCAGGCCTGCCAAATATTACATTTTACAATTTGTCCTGCCTCCGTCGTCAGAGTCTCAATTGGATTGCTAGGAAATCACATTACTCAAATTACTCCTTGGAGGAGGCCTTGGTGTTTCCGCTACATCTCTCAGCCATTTTGCATTCTAAAATTAAGGCCTTACCTGGGTCTCTTCGTTTGAATCTCCTGATCAGAGACACAGTACTGGCCTGGAGGGAAATGCGGAGACTTCTTGGCTTACCACTACGGATATCCTCCTATCTGCGTATTCTTAGAAACCCTATGTTCCCTCCAGCTAGTGAGCATGCAGCATTTACCCATTGGTCTCATAAAGGACTTACTAATGTTACCTCTGTGTTTGATGATACCAAGTGTTCCTTTCAACCCTTTTCAGTTTTGGCTGCTCAGTATTCCTTACCAGGATCCCACATCTTTTACCATCATCAGTTGGTGTCATTTCTCCGGACATGTTATTCCCCAAAACAGGATCCCTTTCAACACTCCTTCATAGAGAATCTACTGCAACAGGACCACTACTCCATCTCAGATAACTACTCTCATCTAATCTCTCATCAATCTGCAAAATACCACCTTACTCCATTTTAGCCATGGACCCCAATACTGTCTACAGACGAAACTCCCCACAAAATACTGTCGGGATATGGGAAAATTACTTCACTTGTTCTCTGCGAAACATGGCATGAAACCCAATTTAAAATCATCCACCGAGCCTATTATACTTTCTCAACTAATTCAGCTGTTGCCGCTCACCCAACATGTCCTTGGTGTGACTACACTCGTCCAAACCTGTATCATCATTAATGGGAATGTGCGTGAGTCTCTACTTTCTGGGATTGAGTTCTTCAGTACATTAACCAATTATACAATGTCTCTATTTCCAAGGATCCCATGCTCTGTCTCTTCAGTTACCAAAACCCTGTGAAGATGGCACCTCCTAACACTCTTCCCCAATGGATACACATTTGTCTATTAGTAGCTCGCAGAGCCCTCATGCAAGCTTGGATATGTCCAAACCCTCCATCTCTCAAAATGGTGACACAGGCACTAACTAACCTATTTAAATTGGAGAAGCTAGACACCATCACTCAGAACTTTAAGTCCACACATCGCTTTATCTCAAGATGGAGGAGCTTCATGGAGCGTTCCATTACACCTGCTGAATTAGCCGCTGGTATGAAACCCTTCCAATATTCAAATTGGTATCTCAAAGCTCAATTAACCAATACTTTGGTAAACTCCAAGTATCCAACTCCCCTTATAGACCCACCACACAGGTACCTTCCTCCTGTCTAACAGTGGAGTACACGCTCTTCATTAAGATTTCTAGCCCACACTATACTCCTCCTCAAATGTCTTCTCTGATAGAGATTTACTTTTGTTCAGTCTTCCGCAACCAAGCTTCAGTGCTTAGGGATTTGTTCAATTTTGAGGTTCAGGTTTTTTTTACTGCTATGTTGTATCATTTATGTCTATTTCTGACAATGTTTCTTCTCCATTACAATTGTTGTACTGACTTATACATGTAAAGACTATAAGTCTTTACATGTGATGATTCATAGATTTGTATGTCAAGATGTTTTCTTGTACTTATTATATAAAATTCAATAAAAATTGATTAAAAAAAAAAAGCAACCAGATTACGTTCAAGTACCATGTGTTTCTGCACAGTTGTCTCCGCATACTAAGCTTTAGGACAGTGGTTCTCAACCTTTCTAACGCCGCGACCCCTTAATACAGTTCCTCATGTTGTGGTGACCCCCAACCATAAAATTATTTTCGTTGCTACTTCAGAACTGTAATTTTGCAGTGGGAGGACTAGTGCCCCATCATTGGTGTCAGTGGGAGGAATAGTGCCCCATCATTGGTGTCAGTGGGAGGAATAGTGTCCCATCATTGGTGTCAGTGGGAGGAATAGTGTCCCATCGTTGGTATCAGTGGGAGGAATAGTGCCCCATCGTTGGTATCAGTGGGAGGAATAGTGTCCCGCCATTGGTGTCAGTGGGAGGAATAGTGCCCCATCATTGGTGTCAGTGGGAGGAATAGTGCCCCCATCATTGGTATCAGTGGGAGGACTAGTGCCCCATCATTGGTATCAGTGGGAGGAATAGTGCCCCATCATTGGTATCAGTGGGAGGACTAGCGCCCCATCACTGATGTCAGTGGGAGGAATAGTGTCCCATCGTTGGTATCAGTGGGAGGAATAGTGCCCCATCGTTGGTGTCAGTGGGAGGAATAGTGCCCCATCATTGGTATCAGTGGGAGGAATAGTGCCCCATCATTGGTGTCAGTGGGAGGAATAGTGCCCCATCATTGGTGTCAGTGGGGGGAATAGTGCTCCATCATTGGTGTCAGTGGGAGGAATAGTGTCCCATCATTGGTGTCAGTGGGAGGAATAGTGCCCCATCATTGGTATCAGTGGGAGGAATAGTGCCCCATCATTGGTATCAGTGGGAGGAATAGTGCCCCATCATTGGTGTCAGTGGGAGGAATAGTGCCTATCATTGGTGTCAGTGCGGGGAGGAATAGTGCCCCATCGTTGGTGTCAGTGGGGGGAGGAATAGTGCCTATCATTGGTGTCAGTGGGGGGAGGAATAGTGCCCCATCGTTGGTGTCAGTGGGGGAGGAATAGTGCCCCATCGTTGGTGTCAGTGGGGGAGGAATAGTGCCCCATCGTTGGTGTCAGTGGGGGGAAGAATAGTGCCCCATCGTTGGTGTCAGTGGGGGGAGGAATAGTGCCCCATCGTTGGTGTCAGTGGGGGGAGGAATAGTGCCCCATCGTTGGTGTCAGTGGGGGGAGGAATAGTGCCCCATCGTTGGTGTCAGTGGGGGGAGGAATAGTGCCTATCGTTGGTGTCAGTGGGGAGAGGAATAGTGCCTATCATTGGTGCCAGTGGGAGGAATAGTGCCCCATCGTTGGTGTCAGTGGGAGGAATAGTGCCGCATCGTTGGTGTCAGTGGGGGGAGGAATAGTGCCCCATCGTTGGTGTCAGTGGGGGGAGGAATAGTGCCCCATCGTTGGTGTCAGTGGGGGGAGGAATAGTGCCCCATCGTTGGTGTCAGTGGGGGGAGGAATAGTGCCCCATCGTTGGTGTCAGTGGGGGGAGGAATAGTGCCCCATCGTTGGTGTCAGTGGGAGGAATAGTGCCCCATCATTGGTATCAGTGGGAGGAATAGTGCCCCATCATTGGTATCAGTGGAGGAATAGTGCCCCATCATTGTTGTCAGTGGAGGGAATAGTGCCTATCATTGGTGTCAGTGGGGGGAGGAATAGTGCCCCATCGTTGGTGTCAGTGGGGGGAGGAATAGTGCCTATCATTGGTGTCAGTGGGGGAGGAATAGTGCCCCATCGTTGGTGTCAGTGGGGGGAGGAATAGTGCCCCATCGTTGGTGTCAGTGGGGGGAGGAATAGTGCCCCATCGTTGGTGTCAGTGGGGGGAGGAATAGTGCCCCATTGTTGGTGTCAGTGGGGGGAGGAATAGTGCCCCATCGTTGGTGTCAGTGGGGGGAGGAATAGTGCCCCATCGTTGGTGTCAGTGGGGGGAGGAATAGTGCCTATCGTTGGTGTCAGTGGGGAGAGGAATAGTGCCTATCATTGGTGCCAGTGGGAGGAATAGTGCCCCATCGTTGGTGTCAGTGGGAGGAATAGTGCCGCATCATTGGTGTCAGTGGGGGGGAGGAATAGTGCCCCATCGTTGGTGTCAGTGGGGGGAGGAATAGTGCCCCATCGTTGGTGTCAGTGGGGGGAGGAATAGTGCCCCATCGTTGGTGTCAGTGGGGGGAGGAATAGTGCCCCATCGTTGGTGTCAGTGGGGGGAGGAATAGTGCCCCATCGTTGGTGTCAGTGGGGGGAGGAATAGTGCCCCATCGTTGGTGTCAGTGGGGGGAGGAATAGTGCCCCATCGTTGGTGTCAGTGGGGGGAGGAATAGTGCCCCATCGTTGGTGTCAGTGGGGGGAGGAATAGTGCCCCATCGTTGGTGTCAGTGGGAGGAATAGTGCCCCATCGTTGGTGTCAGTGGGAGGAATAGTGCCCCATCGTTGGTGTCAGTGGGAGGAATAGTGCCCCATCGTTGGTGTCAGTGGGGGGAGGAATAGTGCCCCATCGTTGGTATTAGTGACACAAATGATGGGGCACTATTCCTCCCACTGACACCAATGATACTTACCTTGCTGACCCCTGCTCCAGCCTGGGCTCGCTCTCTCCCTCCCTCTCCCATCTACAGCCTGCAGAAGCAAAATTTGCACTTACCTGTCAGCTGTCTTCCTTCTCTGGCCGCTCTCCTCTTCACTACTCGGTCCTGCAGCTCCCTCGATCTTCTTCGATCTGCGCGCTCTGCCGCTCGGCTCCTCCTCTCCAAGCTCCACCTCCTCGCCGGTGATTGGCCGCCTGTGTGCCTCTCCTGAGCTACAGTTCCGGTGGCCAATCAGCGGCGAGGAGGCGGAGCTGTTGAGTGATCCCGGAGGTGTGGCCAGGTTACAGGGGCAGCATATCATCCCGCCCACAGATCGCGAGACAGAGCAGCGGTGTCTCGGTTCCTAAGACCATCGGAAATATGTGTTTTCCGATGGTCTTAGGCGACCCCTGGGAAATGGTCGTTCGACCCCCAGGTTGAGAACCGCTGCTTTAGGAGGAAATGACAATCAGACATTTTCTTCTTTGTTGTAGATACCAAGTTTCGGGACAAAAGATTACCAGTACAATTGTTTAATACAAAATAATCTTGAATGTTGCATTTAGTATTCTTTACCCTTTCATATT